TATAATCCGGTTTCTGCCCCCGCGTCTGGTGATCCGTAAGTCAAAATGTCTTCCCATGCCCGTAACCTTCGCATTGCCTCAGAAATCCGTCGCGCTGACTGTTTAGCCGACGTCCCTTGCAACCGCTGCTTCTTCAAAGATCACAAGTGTTATATCATGCCTGACGAGTCTCGCCGCTTGAAGTGTGCTGAGTGCACCCGTGCTGGCAAACCATGTGTTAACATGTCTTGGGCGTCTCTCGATCGGACCAGGGAGGAGTATGAAAAGAAAGTTCAGGAGGATGAGGCACTATTGGCAACAGTTATCTCAAGGCTGCTGAGAAATAAGAAAATCCTGAAACAGGCAAATGAGCGTGCTAAGGCAAAAGCAATGTGCCTGGCGTCGGAGATGATTGAGTCTGGCGAATTGGATATGGCTGAAGATATCGTCGATTGTCCCGTGAGGACAATTGGTATGAGTCTGTCTCCCACTGTGAGGACTACTCTTGGGTATATCGAGGATGCCGTTGAGAGGCATAGTACTCCGCTAGTCGTTCCTGGCAGTTCTTGAGGTGCGTCTTTGGTTCCCATGTGTTTTCTGAGTCTGGGTATCCTGACCATTTGACTAGGTACTCGTCGCCCCTCGTTGTTCGCCGGTGTCGCACAATCTGTTCGACTTCCCATTCGGTTTCTCCATCAGTTTGGTAGTGAAAGTCCTTCTGGACTGGGGTCCTAGGGTCGGCTGGTTCCAATAACGATACATGGAACACTGGGTGGATCTTTGCATCCTTTGGCAGATCGAGTCGGTAGTTAACAGGGCCTCGTTGCTCTGAAATGAAAAACGGTCCGACCTTGACATGGTCCAGTTTCTTCGTAGGTCTTCGTGTGCGTAAGTTTTTTGTGAGGAGATATACTTTATCCCCCTTCTTTAGCTGAGGTGCCGTTTTTCTTTTCTGGTTGACATATGAGATTGCTCGTGTCTGAGCCTTGGTGATGTTCTCAAGCGATTTCTGGTGTACTTCCTTCAGTGCCTCGACTGAGGATATCGCTGATTCTGTTTGGATATTACTGTCAAGAGATCTGGTAAAGAGATTTGGATGTCGTCCGTGATTCGCGAAGAACGGCGTCGTGCCTGTTGCTTCCGATAGCTTGTTGTTGTATGCAATTTGTGCCATAGGTAACAGTGAAACCCAGTTGTCTTGCTGCTGGTTACTGTATATCCGTAGGTATGTTTCCATAGTCTGATTTGTTCTTTCAGTCTGTCCGTCTGTCTGTGGATGATAGGCGGTAGAAAGCTTCTTCTTGGTGCCAATAGCTGCGAGTAGCGTGGTCCAATAATTTGACGTGAAAAGCTTATCTCTGTCGCTGATGATTGATTCCGGTATGCCGTGATATCGAATTACTCTGTCCAGGAACACGCGTGCGAGCTGCTCTGTCGTGTAGCTGTGTCGAAACGGTATCATCTCGGCGGCTTTTGTAAATCTGTCCACTACGACAAAAATCGAATCGTAGGAGTATCCTGTGACAGGGTCCTTGGAGATTGGTAGCTGTGTGACAAAGCCCATCGTGATGTTCGTCCATGGTGCCGTAGGCGGTTCCATTGCTTGCATTTCTCCATACTTGGTGTGCGTGCTGTGTTTGTTCTGTTGACAATCAACACAGTTCTTAACATACTTGGTGACTTTGTCTTTCATGTTCTTGAACTCATAGTGTCGTCTGATGAGTTCCATCGTCCGCGTGATTCCAGGGTGTCCGTGGAGTGGGTCATCGTG